CTTCTTCCTCACTCTTCCTTCTTTCCCTTCAGCTAGAATTGTTGTCTTTGAATCTTTAAGTTGTGGTGTATTTATCATATCTTTAAGCTTTCACTATACCCATGGGATTGCAAGAGAGTTTGGAAAAGTCAATCATAAGAATTTTTTGCACATCAACTACGCACATATTTGGAGGGGATAAAGTTCAAATAATTAGATTCAACAAGCTCCTTCATAGTAGGCATCCTTCCCATTGTCTTGAGATTCTCTTTTTGAGTTTGGGTTGAAGAAACCAAAATTTAAAAAGTACAAATGGATTCAAGAAACCCTCCATCACATTGAATGAATTGATTCATGCTGAATCAACAACTTGTAATGTGCATATCGTGATGGTTAAATTTTTTGGATTTGCATTTGCCCATAAGCCTAAATGGACTTTTTGATGTGAAAACTATAATATAGTCTTTTGAAAACATGAAGGTTGTCTTGTTAATATAGATGTTCAACCATATTATATATATATATATATATATAATGGCGAGATTGTTCTCTAGACTTTGTAGTTGTGATTTAGTTCCTATATAATATTACTAGGTTGTTGATATAATTTGACTTATTTGATAAACTCTAAGTTAGTAGTGGATTGTTTGTTATAAAATCATAGTTTACTTATTTATATTGGATGTTCACATGTGAATTGAAAAATTCATGACCTGTCTATTATCATAAAAATGCCTTATAGAAAATATTGGATTATGTGTTGTGAAAATATAAACATTGAAGTTCAACTGTGAAAAATAAAAGTTTGGTTTTTGTAAGTAGACATTTACATGTAAATACCTAAACCTAGACTTGTCAATATGTAAGCCTTTTGTTGTTAGTATGTGAACTTGCAATTGGTAAAATAGGAATAATTATTTTATGTGATTTAATAATTGTCTACATTGATTGATTCGCTAATTTGTGCAGACGCATAAAATGGTAAAGGAGAAACAGCTAAAACGGATCTAACCTTTTATGAGATGGCATGAGTTTATGAAATTTTTTTGGAGAAGAATAAAAGACTACAAGATATTGACAAACTTAAATGACACGTGAGCTGAAAATTGGAACAAGATGAGTAAAGAGGAGAGGGATTTTTGTAACAACTGTCAAAGGAAAAAAAATGATAGGATGACTTGACTAATAGAAGTATTAGAATGTAAATGCAATTAGGATTACTCTAAGATTATGTATGCACCATTCTTAGTTTCTTTTTTCATATGGAATTATTTTTTATGTAAATGGATGTAGGGAAAATATTGTAGTGTATATTTGAAGAACACTTGATGAGGTGTGCTGGTTAAATTATTTCCAATGTACAAGTTACCCAAGTTGAATTTATAACACAACGTTCGTAAATAATATTATAAGGTCCACATACTAACAACACAAGGTTTGCCCATATGGCACACCTGAACATATGTTCGAGTTAATTGCAAAATATATATAACATAAATTTTATAATTAACAACATACTTTCATTGAAGTAACAAGAATACCTACATTAGATTTGGATAATTTCATACTGGTATTAGCCTTTCTATTAAAATAGGTATCAACAAGAAATTTCATATCATATTTCATGTTGATCTATAGAAAAATTCAGCAACTATATCCCAAATATGCAGGGTTGCTTGTCCATATACAAATAAATAGTAATTGTCATTTTCAACTAACCAAAAAACATAAGTTTGGATACCTTCATATATATCATAACTATAGTTGTATCAATGCAAAAAAAAAACAAAGAAAAAAACAAAGTAAGAAGTCAGTTGTAAATCTACCATGCTATCTTTTATGTGAACTTGTAATGAATAAATTAATATAGGTCCCAACTTTTATTTTTCAGAATTAAATATTCAATATAAATAAGAAAACGTTCATGTTTTCATAATGCATAGTCTAGTGTTTTTGATAGGACATTTTCATGATAATGGATTGGTCATGAATTCTCTAATTCAAATGTAAACATCCACTATAAACAAGTAAAGCCATCATGATTTCATAACAAATAATCAACTACCAACTTAAAAGTTTAGCAAATAAGTTAGATTATATCAATAATCAAGTTTGGATATATCAGCAACAAAATCACAACTATAGAGTCTGAAAAACAATCCTACCATTATATATATAAAAAATACAATTGAACACCTATATTAACAAGACAACCTTCACGTTTTCAAGATACTATATTATTTTTTTCAATCATAAAGTCCATTTGGGCTCATAGGCAGATTCAGATCCAAAAATTTTATTTTCACTATGTGCAGATTGCAAATTGTAGATTGAGTATGAATCAACGTATTCAACATGATGTAGGGTTTCTTCAATCTATTGCACTTTTTAATTTCAGTTTCTTCACCCAAACCCAGAAAAGAACATCCCAAGACGATGGAAAGAATGCCTACCATGAAAGAATTGTTGAATCCAACCATCAAAATTCTATTCCCTCTAAATATATGCGCCTTCAATGTGCACAAGATTCCGACAATCAACTTTTCCAAACTTACCTCCAACAATCTTATGAATACGGTGAAAGCTCAAGGATATAGTAAATTCTCCATACCCTAAAGCTTCGAAGACGATAATTCCAACTGAAGGGAGAGAAGGAAGAGTAAGGAAGGAAAAGAGATCAGAGTCAATCAATTTTAAGAAGGGCAAATGGGTCATTTTACCTAAAAATATAATTGCAAATGAGGCTTTTATATCCTCAAAATAATTTCAGATTACACTAGGCCTTATCTACAATTTTGTTGCTTTGGGGTCCCAAAGGATGGTTCTCCCCTTTTATTATTTTGAGGTGTAATTAATGAATTTTTTACAAAAAATGTATAAATAGATACTCCTTCTGTTAAAAAATATAAAGTATTTCTTAAGAAGTTAAATGTTCAAAAATGTATGGTATTTTTAATCTCTTGAGGTGTAATCATTGTTTTTTTTTTAAAGTGTCCCTATTAATAATAACTTCATATTTATTATAGGGTATTTAATGAAATAAATATGAAAAGATATAGTTAGTTGGAAAGTATGTAAATACTTTATTAGGGGTAAGATTCAGTTAAAGATGCTTTAGATTTTTTAACGAAAGGAGTAGATCATTAATATTGATTTTAAGCAAAAAATTCTACTAAATAAGGATAAATATGAAAAAAATTAGTTTAAAATATTTAATTAATTTATTAAGATTGATATTCAATTAAAAATATTTTATGTTTTTTAACAAATAACTTTCTTTGAATTGTATCCACAACTTACTATTCAATTTTGAAAGTGTGTATGAGATTTTTTTAAAAATAATAATAATAAAATATCTTTAAATTATGTAAATGACATTTTAGTTTTTTTAAAATCTCATAATTTCCTTCAAATCTTTGGAGATTTTTTTATTATTAAGTAATTATTTTAAATGATCAAATTGCTCTTAATTCAAATATCAATTGTTATTTATAAGTTTTGATTTAATTTAAATTTTTCTTTTTAAAATTTCAAGAATTCAATAACAATTTAGAAGTTCACATTTGAAATCTTAATATTTTTCAAGTGTTACAAATATCAATTGTCATTCATAAGTTTTGTTTTAAAATTTATAATTTTTCTTCTTAAAATCACAAAAAATCAACAACAATTCATAAGTTTGAATTAAGGACAATTTAGTTATTTATATTATTCTTTAATCACAAAAAATTTTTAGAGACTTCAAAGGAATTATGACATTTCAGGGATCAAAATATTATTTATATAATTTAAAAGTATTTTATTGTCATTTTTCCTTTTAAAAATAAGTAAAGATTCTGAAAGCAATCACTTTCTTAAAATTGTTATAACTTTCTTAAAATTGAGCAGTTTTCTTAAAATACGATAATAAATTTATTTTTCTCCTAATAAATAATTCTAAATTAATATATTTCTAACAAAAATGTATAAAAGATAGTTATTTTGACATCTTAATATACTCCCCATATTATAATATAAGTCATTTTTAAAAAGCTTTGCTTTATCTAAAAGATAAGATATTGGATAGTTGTTATATATTTTTTTAATTACACACTTATTTTATTGAGTAATTAAGAGAAATATTGTAAATAAATTAAATATTATATTTATTACACTCAAAAGCACGATTAAAAAGGTGTTAACTTTTTTATAAATAAAAATTTTAATAACTTTTTTAAAAATATAAATTTATTAATAATAACTAATATTATAATCTGGGAGTAATACTTAAGGAGGAAAAAAACAGCCCAAACTTCTTACATCGTTTTGTCTTTTCAATTCATTTTTTTTTCTTGACAATTTTATTCTTCTACTCATATTCTATTCAAAATTTCAAATTCCTATTAAACTAGATTCTATTATTTTAAAAGTTAAGTTTGAGTAGTAAAAAGAGGACGGAATAATGTTTTTCTGACATCCGAAGAAACCATTTAAGAAAAAAATAATATGGTATAATAGTTGAGAATTTGAGATTCATTTACCTCATAATTGAGAATCTCAAATTAAGATCCTGGCCAAAGGATCTCCAAAGCACCTCCTCCATCATTGAAACTTCGTTTTCTTGTTACCTTCTCCCAAAAAGTCATCAAAAAGGCGTATTGCAATTTTCACAGTCATTCACAGGCTTTTTCTTCAAAGGTCTCTCGCGAGCAAGAAAGAAAATAAACTTACATGAGAGAGAGAATAGAGAGGGTGATGATCGCATAAGTCAACCGACCCTTTTTGGATTCATATGTATTTGTAAGGCTTCGAAGACTCCACATATTGCGTTTTATCTTCCCCTTTTCCCTCCCTCTCTGTCCTCCCCTTCTCTCTCCTCTGCTCGCAAATCTATAAGACTCCTTTTCTAACCCTACTTCGTTTTATTTTTATTCATAATTTCTAAATTTTATATTCTCTCTCTTTTTCAAGCATGCATTGAGCGAGATAGCACACAACATTGTAAGCCTAGGGTTCTCTTTTTTAATTTTTTTTTTTTGGTTGCTTCTCTCTTGTGGGTATTATCAGAAATTGCTGTACTGAGAGGGATAGGGTCATGTTCATATACATATATAGAGAGAGAGAGAGAGGGAATTAGCGAGCTAGCTAGCTGGAATAACCAGAGGGTTTTTCCTTCTCTGCTTGCCTTGTTTCTCTTTCCTTTCTTCATCTCTCTCTCTCTCTCTCACAATAATAGAAGGTGAATTATATACGAAAGGAGGACATTTTATTTCCAGCTACAGAGAGAGAAAGGTGAGACATTGGGGCTTTATCCTTTTGTCTCCTCTATCTCTTTCCCTCCATGTCTTCGCACCTTCTTCCTTTGTTTCTCTCAGTCTTGTCAAGTGAGCGAATTCATTCATATTTTTATATATATAGATATATAGATATAAATTAATTAATATACACACACCACACGCACACGCACACGAGGTCGATTCTGATTTCTCGAAACCCCATTTCATCTTCTTAGAGGTTTAAAACTTCTGGGATTGCTGAATTTACTGCATCGAATCTCATGTACGGAAGGCTGAGCCACTTCTACTGGTACTGAGTTTCGGATTTTTGAGGAAAAGAGAGGTCGAAGAAGGGAATCGAGTGGTTTTTTGTTAGAAAAAGTGGCTTCTTTGATGAGTTTTGGGGGATTTCTCGACAATAACTGGGGTGGCGGTGCGGCGGTGGAGGAGGCGGAGGCGGCGATAGAATCGTCGCTGATATTCCTTACAGCAACGGCAGCACCAACGATAATAGAATGCCGTCGAGTGGTTCAATCTCGCAGCCTTGTGTCGTCACACAACCAGCTGCGATGGCGAAATCCATGTTCAGCTCTCCGGGACTGTCTCTCGCACTTGTGAGATCTCCTTCGTTTATTTCATTCCCATACTTTTTTGGGGGCTGAAACTGATGATGATCTTGTACCATATATTGTTTGTTAGTTAATTTATTTATTTATTTATTTATTTTTTGATTTTTGATTCTCTTTGGATAAAGCAAACGAATCTTGACGAGCAACAAGGAGATGCGAATAGAATGCCTGAAAGCTACGAGCCAAATGTTGGGGCGAGAAGAAGCAGAGAGGAAGAACACGAAAGCAGATCTGGCAGTGATAATATGGAAGGCCCCACTTCCGGCGACGATCAAGACGCCGCCGACAACCCTCCGAGGAAGAAACGCTATCACCGACATACCCCTCAACAAATACAAGAACTCGAAGCGTATGATCTCGCTCACATTTTTTCTCTCTTTCTCTATTTACTGGCTTCTTTCTTCTTCTTCAATCTTCACTGTCCTTTTTTCTTTGGTTTAGTCTGTTCAAGGAGTGTCCTCACCCAGATGAGAAACAAAGACTAGAACTGAGCAGAAGGCTTTCCTTGGAAACCAGACAGGTGAAATTTTGGTTCCAAAATCGAAGAACCCAGATGAAGGTAATTATAACAACTGATATAACCTCTTGGGGACATCTTTTTTCGTGGTACGATGTTTATGTGTTCTTGTTTCTACTCAGACCCAATTGGAGCGCCATGAAAACACTTTGCTCAGGCAAGAAAACGATAAACTGAGAGCAGAAAACATGTCTATAAGAGAAGCTATGAGGAATCCTATATGTTCAAATTGTGGAGGCCCAGCCATTATCGGCGAGATTTCCCTCGAAGAACAACACCTGAGAATCGAAAACGCTCGACTGAAGGACGAGCTAGACCGAGTTTGTGCTCTAGCAGGAAAGTTTCTGGGCCGACCCATTTCTTCATTGACCAGTCCGATCGGTCCTCCATTGCCAAACTCAAGCTTAGAACTCGGAGTTGGGATGAACGGGTTTGGTGGTATGAGCACCGTGCCGTCGACATTGCCTTTAGGGCCAGATTTTGGGATTTCGAGCCAATTAGCCATAGTGCCTCCGGCGACAACATCGACGGCCACGACGATGACCAGAGCAGTGGGGAATTTGGTCAGCGGACTTGATAGGTCCATAGAGAGGTCTATGTTTCTGGAGCTTGCCTTGGCGGCCATGGACGAGCTGGTGAAGATGGTGCACACCGATGAGCCTCTCTGGTTAAGAAGCTCAGAAGAAGGAGGAAGAGAGATTCTGAACCATGAAGAGTACATGAGAACTTTCAGTTCTCCTTGCATTGGCATGAGACCAAATGGTTTCGTCTCCGAGGCTTCAAGAGAAACTGGAATGGTCATCATCAACAGCCTGGCCCTCGTCGAAACTCTAATGGACTCAGTAAGCTATATATATATTCATATTCGTTCATCTCCAAGTTCCATTTTATTCTATCACATTTCACAGTGAAATTAAGTCTGAACCAAACCCATTTTCTTTCCATAGAATCGATGGGCAGAAATGTTTCCATGTTTGATTGCCAGAACCTCCACAACCGAAGTAATATCCAGTGGAATAAATGGAACCAGAAACGGTGCACTTCAACTGGTACGTTTGAAAAGGTATATATATATATATATATGAATGTAGCTGATTTGTGTGGTGTTATTATACAGATGCATGCTGAGCTTCAGGTTCTATCGCCATTGGTGCCAGTTCGAGAGGTGAATTTTCTTCGATTCTGCAAGCAACACGCGGAGGGGGTGTGGGCTGTAGTTGATGTGTCGATCGAGACAATTCGAGAACCTTCTGGAGCTGCTGTTTCGTTTATGAACTGCAGAAGACTTCCTTCTGGGTGTGTTGTTCAGGATATGCCAAATGGTTACTCCAAGGTGAGTAAAATTATTATAATTTCCAGTAAATTTTGATCTCCTGAAGCTTGATTTTTGGGTACTATTGAACCAATTTGTGTTATTTGCTGATTCCTGTTGAGTTTGACGCGGGAATGTCACTTCATTCTGTACCATATTGTGTCATATCTGTATGTGACATAACTGAATTTACCAAACTATGCCTTGCTTTACACCTGTTTTCTTATTTCTTGGAATCTATCTGTTTCTTCTGTGTGTGCTCTTCATCTCCATGATTCTTCAATCACCTAGTATCAAAACATATTTATATATATTCTAAATATAAATAATTGATATTAATAATTAATAATGTAAACTAAACCCCATTCTTCGTATATTTATATGCAGACACTGACATGAAATTTACTATTGTTATAATTTTTTATATTTTATATTACTCCCTGATTCTATAAATAAAAAACCAGTAACTATTTTAGGAATAATGATGAAATTAATTGAAAGATTTTATCCTTCATAATTATATCACAAAGTGTAATTGTTTTTTTTTTTTGAAAAAAAAGACAATGTTCCAATTAATCTATGAACTTTTACCCAATATTCAGTGACACTCATGAGGGATTAAATGGAATAAACATAGGTAGGTAGTCTTTTACATTTAGGATTTTTTTTAATTCTCTTTTATACCGAAAAGGAGGGAGTAATATAGTATAATAAATCGTATATAAAATAATTTATAAATTGTGAATAATATAGCCTTCTCTTCGTAGTTTTAAATAAGAGTACATGTTCGTAGACAGAACACTAGGCCAAGGAATCATGGGGTTTCTTCCTTTTTGCTTTTCGAAGCTATTTAAAAGTGCCCATAGTTCGAAGGTACCTAGCTTAATTTGTCCAGTCACTACTCACCACATAATCACTCTGTCAGTGATAATTCCCAAATAAAATATTTTTCTATTTCTAAAAAAAAATATTTTTTTTTTATATTTGGCCTCTCAAAGCATCTGCGCCTGACTGGGATGCTTCTCCTTGTCTCACAATTACATATTCCTAACTTGAATTTTCAACAATGGATTGTGATTGTGATTGTGATCCTATATATATATATATATATATTAAAAAAATGTACTTGAATAATAATAATAATAATAATAATAGCCTCCCATTTGGGGCAAAATCGAGGTTAATTTTTAATATATTATTTTTCCTCATGGAACAAGCCTAATCTGTTGCTTAAATTTCTGAATCCTGGACATATTAATTAATGCTTACTCATCCATTCGGGAAGCAATTTGCCTTGTGATAATACTGTACCATATCCTTTGATTCTATAAACATTAAACAATGTATATGATGTTTCTATTCCAGTCTTTGATGCTGTATCACTGGTCTTCCTTCAAGTAATATTTTATTCATTTTCCATCTAACTCCTCTAATCTGTAGGTCTCTTACATATAAATATAGTATTGCTATTCAATATTGTAAGGTCAAAGTCCAAGACTACCTATTTTGTTCATTTTTTTAACAAATCTCGATTTCTCTCTCTCTCTCTAACCTCTTCAAAGTGCTCGCTGCTCCCCTAAATCCTCTCTTTGCATGACGTAGCAATATTTTATGTGCTTGATGCTCAAGTTTCATGGGAATCGTATTGATTATAAATTTCCTTGTTTCATTGAACACAATCCTTAGGCACATTTCCGAGATTTCATTTAATTTGTTTTTCTTTTTTGGTATTTTTCTTTCATTGTCTTCTTTACTCGTGACGGCTTTAAGCCAGCTTGAAGAAATAACTTCACTGTTTTTATTGTTGCCCTTGGACGCATCTGAGCGAATTGTAATACCAGGAAAAGTTATGTTTTTTTTTTTGCCCTAAAATATTTTGAAACTGAGTTAAATTAAATAGATTTATTTTTCCTTTTTAGTTTGCTCAAATCCACATGTATCATGTACTTGATCTTAAGAACCCATGTGAATTCAGTGTACGTGGAGTGTACAAGATCATGAAATTAGTGCTATCAGAAGAGTCCAAACTTTCACTGCTAAAAGACGATACTGGTACTGCATTAATTCATAAATGAATATTACAGACGCAATATACGTCATATTCTGAAAATTTTTGCAATTCTGGTGAACTGATGAACTTGTGAAGGATCTAGTAATGATGTTAACTGGTTTTGCATGAATTTACAGGTGACTTGGGTGGAACACGCAGAATACGATGAAAGCCAAGTCCACCAACTCTATAGATCCTTGTTGAGCTCCGGCATGGGCTTTGGTGCTCAACGGTGGGTCGCCACCCTGCAACGTCAATGCGAGTGCCTTGCCATCTTAATGTCCTCCTCCGTTCCCTCTCGAGATCACACCGGTAAGCTTCAACGCGGGCCAGAATATATCAGTCATCTCTTCTAATATTGTTAATATTCATGTGTTGAATTTCTCTGAACGGCAAGCTTTCTTTGGTTTGTTCTAGCTGCCATAACGGCCGGTGGCCGGAGGAGCATGTTGAAGCTAGCGCAGCGGATGACCAACAACTTTTGTGCCGGAGTTTGCGCTTCAACCGTGCACAAGTGGAACAAGCTGAACGCAGGAAACGTCGACGAGGACGTCCGGGTGATGACGCGGAAGAGCGTGGACGATCCCGGCGAGCCGCCAGGGATAGTTTTGAGCGCAGCCACCTCCGTTTGGCTTCCCGTTTCACCCCAGAGACTGTTCGATTTCCTACGTGATGAGCGTCTGCGAAGCGAATGGGACATTCTCTCAAACGGTGGGCCCATGCAAGAGATGGCCCACATCGCCAAAGGCCAAGACCACGGCAATTGCGTCTCTCTCCTAAGGGCCAGTGTACGACTTTTTCTCTCTCTCAATCTTCTCACTCTTACCTTTGGAGTTTTTTATTGACGGAAATACCCCGGGATGTGAGGCAAGGTCAATAGGTCATTGTCGTTTAGTGTTTTGGTTAAAAAGGTGAAATCGAGAAGGTAGGTTTGGAAATTTGGAAGTATCTGTGCGGACTAGGGTCACAGAAATAGGGCAGCGTTGTTTGTTTCGTAGCAAGGTTTAACGAAAAAAGTCAAAATATAGGACGCTTGTCAACTTTCTGGATTTCTGAGTAATCTGACCTTGTGGTTTAAAAAATTATTTTTTAATTAACTTTTTTACACCCAAAAATAAAGGAGAAATAATAATTGAAATAAAAAAAAGATATATGGTCCCCGGGTTTGACTATGGCTCCTTGTGAACTTAGCGATGGTGACAAAATCAAATAAATTTGTTTATTTTTTTGCGCAGGCGATGAATGCAAACCAGAGTAGCATGCTCATCCTGCAGGAGACATGCATAGACGCGGCGGGTTCGCTTGTGGTGTACGCTCCTGTGGACATCCCGGCCATGCATGTGGTGATGAACGGCGGTGACTCGGCTTATGTGGCGTTGTTACCTTCGGGGTTCGCTATAGTCCCGGATGGACCGGGGTCGCGTGGATCCCAAACTCCGGCTAGCAATGGGGACGCGAACGGTGGCGTTAATGAGAGAGTGAGTGGGTCCCTCCTGACGGTGGCGTTTCAAATCCTCGTGAATAGCCTCCCTACGGCCAAGCTCACGGTGGAATCGGTAGAGACGGTGAACAACCTCATCTCGTGTACTGTTCAGAAAATAAAGGCCGCTCTTCACTGTGAAAGCTGACGCTCACGTGTGCGTCGTAGGTCACGTGACCTAGTGTAATTCTTTTTCCTTTTTATCTCTTTGAAAGCTTAGGGTAGTTAATTCAAATATGTCAAGGTGGCGCGTGTGAAAACGCGAGAGTGACTACTACTAATTGTGGTTTGAAAAGGGACTGTGGGGGAGTTGAGTCAAGAACGAACCGCACTGGGGGAAAGAAATCAGAAAGAAAAAACTCCTTGCATGGTGGTGAGGATCCGAAGCTCATGCGGGTCCGGATCTTTAACACAAGGCAAGGGTGGTGGTTCGGGTATTGACTCGGGTCGACCCTTGCATTCTTATTTAGTTAAAGGGATTGGTTTTTTTTGTTTTTTGGGTTCAATGTTTATATTTTGATGAAATTTTTGTGCAGTGGTTGCCTGTTTTGTTCTTTGTGAGTGAGGCACACGCGCTGGTTGGTGAGTGTGGGGAGGGGACGTGATTTGATGTGGGGAGTCTGCTAATGAATTAAATGATGGGGCAGAAACTGTGGCTGGAAGCGTTGCCATCATTTAATGCTATGAGTTTGGCACTCACTGGCCATGTATGTGTCAGTTGGCCAATAAAACTACGACACGTGGGAGAACGTTATTCGAGGGATCAAGATGCCTTCCGTATCGATCAAAAAGATCTCCGAGGTGCTTTCGGAGCTTATGCTCGCTGGGCTATTGTTTCAAAAATCCGATCTAACCGGACTTGGGTCGAAGTTATTCAATCCTATACGACACAATTTGAGTTCGACTTTATTAAAATTTGATCCTTTAAAATTAAAAAAAGTGATTTTTTGAATTAAACAGAACAGGAGACTTGACATCTAAATTATTTAATCCAATCTAGTTTTATTAAATTTATTTAATATGATTATAATTAAGTTATTAATTATTTATAATAACAAGTTAAGGATATTAATAATTTAGTAAGTCTGATTTTTCACATAATCGCACTCTCATAATAATAATTTAATAATATGAATCACTTAGGCTGTAATTGAAATATTTTTTTTCTTATTAGTGGAAATTATTATAAGTTTATTTGATTATAAGTGTTTTTATTATCTTTATTGAGTTGATTAGGTTGAAATGAATTAGTGCTTATAAAAAAAAGGAAACAAAAAAAGCTAAGTGAGTATTAAACAGGATCATTTGTTTAATCTTATGGATCAAGTTTGGTCTTATTAACTTTGGGTTATCACTTGATCAGATTGGATTACAGGTTATCTAACCTAATTCTTTTTATGCAAGAGACTAAACTTTAGGTTAGGCCAAAATTCAGTCCCATCCAGTCCTTTATGCAACCCTAAACCGGACCATCAAATTAGTTGAACCCTTGATTGGAGTCATTAACATCAAAAAATTGTTTGATGATTGAGCCAGATGAGACCAGAGTTGAACAATTATTAAATCAAAAATTGGAATTGAATCAAGAATGAGAAAAATTTTGTAGAAAATTAGACCATTTTAAACAAAATATTAAAAAAATAAAAAAAATTAGAGTCTATTGAAAGCTAAAACTATTTTTGAAAAATTTATATATATGAAATATGATTTGACACTATTTTTTTATAAAGACGTTGACAGTTATAAATGTAAATGCAAATATTTTTGAGTCTACTCAAATTTAATTTAATCAAGATTTATCTACACCTGACAAGTTATAAACTTATAATTTATAATATTGATAATTTATGATCATCCTATGTCATTTTATTAACAATTAAGCATAATGTAGATTTGTTTCTTATATTTATTTTATATATACATTTAATATTATTTTTATTTAATTATTATGTCACCGATCCAACTGCTGATATAATAAATTAGACTATAAAAACTAAAAAATACTGACTTTTTTGATTTAATGTTTGATCCGGCTTTTAAAACATTGTTGGACGACTCTAATTTTAATGGATGAAACATTTAAAGCATAAAATTTCAATCCTTCCATTATTAACTACTCTCCTCTTATCATAATAAAAACTTTACTTGATTCAAAATGTAAGATATTAAATAGGTATTATATATATATAATTATTCCCTTATTTTATAGAGTAATTAATAAAAATATTTTAAATAAGTCAAATGTTGTATTTATTATACTTAAGGGCACAATTGACAAGATATAAAAAATTTTTAAAAAAAATCAAAAGTTAAATAAACTTTTTTAAATATAAATTAATTAATAATGATTAATATTATTGTCCGAAGTGAGTAGAGTTAAATCGTCTGGTAAAACATGATTTAAGATTTAATTCTTGAAACTAAAAATTATTTTTGTCGCTAATTTGATCGTCAATGTTTAAATTTGAATTAATATCATATCTCAAAAAATCATATGCAAAATTTTATTTACATTCTTCAGACAAATTGAACAGTATATACTAAAATGATCCCTAAATTGCGAGCAAGTGGATTAAAAAGTGTATTGAAATGAATAGTGTTGTAGGAAATGAAATCTTATAAGTCACCTCCTGAAGGAATTCATGGTAAAATAAGTCACTTGCATAAAAAACAAATTATTAATTAAGTTTTTTTTTTAATTTTATTCTTTCACAGTCGTAATGAGTATTGCGTAATAACTTGCTCTTTCTAGTCTTTATTATAAGATATATTTAAAAGAGATTGGTGATCTTTAATATAATGCACTTTATGAGGTATTAATTATATTTTTTAATATTATTTTTATTTAAATTCATTATCTATTAGAAAAAAAATTAATGTGAATTTGAAATTTGTGTTTAGATATGGTAAATTTGAAAATGCATTTTTTTTGGGATAAAGATAATGGCTTAATTACTTCATGCATCTTAGTTCTAGTGCATTTAATAAAAATAAATTGAAGATTTTCTTTTTTTTTTTAGGAAACACCAGTAATTTAACTACCTCTATTTTATTTTAATGAAATAATTAAAAATGATTTATAAATAAAATTTGAAGAAGTAATAGCTTAAAACTTGAAAACAAACCAGAAGATTTAATGATGAAAATTTTCTCAGGAATCATGACAAAATGGAATAGAATCTAATGATGGCCATTAAATGTTGTATTAACTTGATAATGAGAGGAAAAGTTTACAAGGAGAGGAAAAGGTTAATTGGTGTTTTGAAATATTTATCTACAAATACTATTCCCTTCATCTTAAATTATAAGACACTTTTAATGAAATAATACATACCAATAAAATTTATTAAAGGCACTTTACAACACTAATTTTTTTTTAAAAAAATAATCTTTAATTCCTATAGTTTCATTAAATTTTGCTTTTAATTTCTATAGTTTTTTTTAATTTTTAGTCCATATAAGGATTAAAACCACTAAAAAATGAAAACTGTAGAACCTAAAAAATAAAAGTCACCAATTTTTTTAAAACTATAGAGGCTAAAAAAACTGCAGGGACTAAAAACAAAATATGATAAAATTATAAGGACTAAAAATTATATTTTTTAAGATAAAAATATAAACTTTTAAAAATATCCTTCATTTAATATTCTATTTTTAAAAAAATATTAAAAAAGAAAATATATAGATTGAATAATATTAAAAAAGTATAATTCATAAATTTTATTTTTATTAAAATATTTTATATTTTAGGATATCAAATTTATTTCAAAACTGTTTTATAATTTGAGATGGAACCAGCACTATGTTGCTAGTTCTTGATTGTGGCTTCTTATAAAAGTCATGTATCAAAATCTTAATATCAGTGATCATACATAAACAAATCATTGAGTCTCAAAAAGGATAACTTTTCCAAAGGGAAAAAAACATATTATATGATTGTACAAACTCAAATCAAGAACTCATGCTTAAAATACCATAATTTTTTTATCTGAACCAACGTGGGTCGGTTGATGATCCACTTTATGCTTAATATGCGTGTGTCTATGTCTATGTATAAATTAAACAAAAATCAACTTTATTTATTATTATGACTTGGTTAAGATCCCAGTGCTTGGACCTCTTTAAATTGAACTTTGTTTGTTAATACGAATCAATGAATCAATTCCTTTGATTGACTTAGATATCAAAAATTTATAATTGACTTGATTAAAGATATTATGGATTCAAAAGATTTGAATTAATTTTATTTATTTATTGACATATTTCTTTTATGTCCATCATGCAATCCCTATTATAAAGAACCTTTTATAAAAAATTTTTAGTCCTTAATTAATACTTGATGTGGGTAATAATTACATTTTTTAATATTATCCACATTTAAATGCACTAAGTATGAGAATGAATGTAATATAAATTTAAAATTTTTTATTTTAAGTAGAGATAAAATTAAAATTTTATTTTATTTTCATATAAAGTAAATGGCTTAATCACCTCTTGTTGGATCTGGTGAAATACTTACAAATGTTTTATAATAAGAATCCGATGAAGCATAATAATGCAAGTTTATATTACTTTAGTGTGCATATTAGGTGAATAATGAAGATCACGTAAATTGAAATTACTTTATAAATAAATTGGTGTTCTTAATTGATCTCAAGTTCGAGTTTTGTCAACAGGGAAAAAATCATTTTAATATTTAATTTACAGTTCATCACTTGAATGTGAAAAACAAATTTGGAAGGTTACATATAACTGGTGGTTGAATTCAGTAATAAAAGACTCCATATCATTTAAATAAAGATGTTGGCTTCAGACTGCGGGTGAAAAAAAAAAAAGTGAAGATATATATATATATATATATATATATTTAATACAAAAAACACAGAAAATTGGTGTGAAAGGTGAACAAAAATCAAGTTATGTCAGATTTTATAAGGAATCTACATCCTGAAGGTAGATGATTAAAAATATTAAGATTAAGATTTTTTTGAATGGTACTGAGTTGATAGCCAAAGTATTTAAAAAATTTTAATTCAATTACCTTATCGTCTCATATGAGTCTACCACAAGTTGTAGCTCCATTAGAGTTGACAACCTCATCAATGTCACCCCTTATGATTTAAAATATCACTCCTTTCATTAAAAAATGTAAGGTATTTTAATTTTTTAATGTGTAATCATTATTTTTTTTGTCAAAAATATCTTTATTGAATAAAGCACTTTATATTTATTTTAAGGTGAAATAACTTATTAAATAATGATAAATGTAAGAAGATATTATTAATTTGAAAACAAATAATTAATTACTTTATTGGAAATGAGACTTAATTTAAAAATTTTTATATTTTTTAACAAAGGGAGTATAAATTAAAAATACATATCAGGTTGAGATTTAAAAAAAAAATTCAAGAATTGACTCAACTTGAATATGAATGGGAATATCAGACAGCGGATCCACAGAAAAATTCCAATCTCAAACTCTCATGAAATATAAAAATAACTCTCAAATCCCATAAATTTTAATTGCAAATAAGTTTTCATGTGTGCTT